ATATATATATATATATGTATACGGAAGTAGTTTTTCGAACGAAAAGCGCGTTCGATAATTTTGGTTGTGATTTCGTGAGGTATGAATTCTACTGTAGGTCTTGTTTAGTCCATACAATATGCTTGCTTACTCCTCTAAATTCCATTTTAGCTGTTTTCTGTCAAGGATGTCGAGGCGAAGTGGGAGAGTCTGTCTTCCCTGCCACCAGTACGTGAGAGCCACCTCCAGGCCATAGCAGTTTTTAATGAAAAACTCATCCGCGCATAGATATTCCTTTTCAACCGAAGACTCGTCGTGCGAACGATCCTCTTTCCCCCCCTCTCCGCCGCGTCTCCTGACTCACACGCGGCAACTGTGCTTCCAGAACAGACGACTGCAATCCCCTTTCCCCTCTCCTGTCCCCTCTTTTCGCCCGGTTGATTGTGTCAACAGTCATAACGACCCCAACTAGATAATAGTATAATTCCGCTTTATAGCGCTTCGACTCTCTTGGCTACCAATTGTTTATGCAAACTTATCTAAGTGTATAGTGATTTTGTGACTTATCATACTAGGAACCTAGGTGGTACCTAAAAGCCCCGGACATGTGTCTCATCAGTATTCTGCCGCTGGTTGACATAACTGCGATCGTTTCGGCTCATCAGGTGGGCCCCCAGCTTGCCATGTTTGCTTTCTGTTTGATAGACCTGTTTTAAAGATTAATCGGCGGAATTAGAAGTGAAGATGCGCGTCCCGGGACATATATGAGAAGATAAGGCGATCACGGGAAGCATTGTTGTATTGTTCTGACATCTCCAAAGCGTACAGTCTTCTATCATCAAAGGTAGGATTTTTACCGCGCCTCTTAGTATTTATAGGCGTTGGCAGCCACAGTCAATAAGGGTTAAATCAATGCGGAGGAAGGGGGCTAGGGAATAGAGAGAGATGCTCAATCATCGTGCCCGTTAAAGCGGATAAACCTTAATTAAGGGTTCGTCCGTCGAGGTCTGGTGCTGGTAGTTGTGCCGCGGCCGTCCCAGGTCGGTAAATTTTGCTTGCGCTCATACGTCTATCCGAATTCACACTTGCAGGATAAGCGGATGAACTGGCTGAGCTGATGATCCCTCTTTCCGGTTGCCGTGTCGCTACGTTTGTGTCCACCATCGGCTCGCAAAGGCTCGGATTCAGGCTCCGTCTATGTTCATGTTTGTTCTTTTTTTCACTGAGCTGCGTTTGGAGTGCTTGGTAGGCTGTAGGAAGCGCCACACAGCGATTGACAGAGGTTGTCCCCATGTGTCAAGGCTCGATCGTTTCTCTGGCTACGTGGTAATTTCCTCGAACCATAATTTCTGCATTCTGGAGGGCGAACGCGTGTCCAATGTCCGTACAGTGTTCAGCCACCAAATATAGATGGTCCATCCTTCTTCTGTCCTCATCTGTTCCGCCACATGAACGGAGCGTGGATCCGAGCCCTTGCGAGCTGATGGTGGCCACCCGCATGTAATAACGAACGTACCCGATCGCATGTTTAAATTAGACCCCTTTCCATATAAACGTAATAATTCGATAAGCAATTATTGAAAGCCTACGTATGCTCGCGAACTGCTCTTTCGAATTATCTGGTGGGAATTTTGGCAATTTGAAAAGAGTTTGACCAAAGGACTGTTCTTTTGATATACAGAAAATTGTATGTTAAAGATCTCACTTGACGTATTCCTTTTGTGTTTACTTTTCACAGTAACATGGTTCGTGCATGTGTTCGGAAAAAACTCGCTTTTACAAAAAAAGTTATTATGTCGTAAAAACGTCATACGAGTTTTGATATCTGCATTAATATTTAAATTTCCGGCAAGGTTTTAATTTATTAATTCAACGTTTTCTATATGCTTTAATGTCAGTTTGGACGTGATTATCAAACTTTCGCAAATTTCAGCATTTCGTGTGGGTTGGATCATCTAATATAATTCTTCAAGTCCCAGCTGTTAGTCCGTTCCGATAGTTTCACAGCATGTTAGATTGTGTATCGCGAGAACGTTAGCATTGGATAAGAGTTGAATCGACCGAAGGCTCTCTTTTTTCCTCTTAAACTTTGGCAATCGCAAGTCAAATCAATTCCAGATAAGACGGGGAATAATAGCTGTCTTGATGTCTTTCGAGTGCCAGAACGGATCAAATGGGCTTATCCGAAATGCTCTTAGTGCTCGACGAATGCCACCCGGATGAACGTAAAAATTCCCTGAGGGAAGACGTCGATGCCACAATTTTGGTCAATGCTGACGAATTTGATAGACCTTTCAAACTCTTAATAGAATCCATCGTCAAAGGTAAAAGCGGCAAAGAAACTATCACAAGTTAAAGGGCGTAGGTGCCAATCAAATGCTAGTAACGCTAATTGAGAGGTCACTACGCAGGCCTCTGTATGTCAGTTCCAGTTAGCTAAATCCATTGACTAAGCTCTCATCGGAGGTCGGGGCTTGGGATTACTCTTCAATTTGCTTGTTTCCGTCGTGGACGCATATCCTCAGAGGGGCGAAGTTAAAAACATGACCCATTTCGTAGTTGTATATTTACGAAGAGAATTTCTGCTCGAGATATGGTGTAATGCACCCCACTGTTCACTAAGAGTTAACCGGGTTATGATTTTAATGTTAATACCACGTGTGATAGCATGATAAATATATTATATTATAAACCTGTGAGAGGCTTTTAGGTGTCACATTATTACCTCACTTCTATTCCCTTCATACTCGTGATCCAAGGTCAGCCAGGGACTGTCTACTTGTTAAGTTTGATGTTGATATAGTGGGGTTTTTCACCCCAACTCCACCAAAACTTCGCTTGATAAAATTCTGGTTCAATCTGTGCAGATCAGGGGTTTTGGGTGCGCACATAGGCCGCGGGGTGTAGTGGCACGCCTGGGCACAAGCTCACGACGTATTAGCCGCTGCACGTGGTCTCGTCGCCCGTATTCTTGAGTCAGTGTTAACACTAGGATTGTGCACGAAAGGTGTGAGAATGTGTGATGGGTGCCATGCTATTTTTTGTGCCCAATCACATTAACGGATTCCCCATTCACAGCTAGGGGTCGTACCTGGCACGATCATTACGCATTGGTCCGCGTCGAAGTCGTTTGATCAGCGTTCTCGATTGTTAACGTTATCCTGACTCAGCATTGAGACTGACCGCCGGGAAAATCTTCGCCTATCCGCGTTCTCCTGCGTGACTATTTACTCTATCTACACAATTCCTTAGTACAGAATATGAACAGGAATAACTAATACTTTTGATTTGAGAGCATTTGGAGAATTTTCAGCTTTCTATAAATTTAATTGTCTATCATGTATAGTAGGTAATATCCCTAACAACAGTCTTCTACGAATTTAAAACGTGAAATGGGGCACCACAAGGTGTTATAACATTTTATCGGCTTTCAGCGTACGACGAAGCTGAATGGAAAATGCTCGGAGAACAACCGCAACTACGGTTACAGCACACACATACAGCAAAGGAGATTTTCATCGGGAGGATTTGAGGAAAAAAACCTGCAACGTTTTCTCTGGCAACATGTGATCAGTGCAGAAATTTTGAATGAGGAAAATCTCCCAGACCCCTTCACCTCTACACACGGTCGGTGCTAAGCTAAAAACGATGCCATTTATCTTGGGGAATATGTTCCTCGGCACATCCAGTCGGAGTTGACAGAGAGAAAGCGAAGGGGTTGGAGTGCCCGAAGTACTACATTAATATATCCAATTAACTACTTGAACCAGAGATCTAATTTTTAATGCGTAATCAGGTTGCCACTGGCTGATTACGGTCAATGCATCCGAAATAAATCTTAGTGTTTACTGACGTGGTAGAAAAAAGGTGACCAATCGGAAACGAGAATATATACTGAAAACTAGGTAGTCATTCCTATTAAGAAGCTGTGTGTATTAACAATACCCCTTTTGGATTGGCTACACTCTGTCCAATCCGCTTCAAGGGAAGGTTATAGACTAGCCAAGCAATTTCCCGCTGGCATAGAACACTCAAGTCTGATGAGAGCTCTGTGGCCACGGCCAATGCGGAGCACTATTGAGGGCAAGTTTTTAGCATGCAGCGTGGGAGACGCGCGTGCGTTCGTTTTGTAAAATGATTGTTTCTTGAAGGTCAAAAGTCGGGCCACTCTCTGCAATATGGGTTTGAAACATTGTTTTCCCGGAAGAAATTTGAACAAGGCGAAGACCACGAGTTGAGCAGAATTTAATGACGTCATGAAATTTTGTGACTTCTCAATCAGCTGCAGACGGTCGTTGCCTATTAATAAGAGAATTAACTGTCCAATTAATTGTCAGTCTCGATGGGTGAAGCTTGATAGTCAGATGTGGA